GGGCACCCACTGCAGATGTATATTTATGGGCACCCGCTGCAGATGTATATTTATGAGCACCCGCTGCAGATGTATATTTATGGGCAACCGCTGCAGATGTATATTTTGGGGCACCCACTGCAGATGTATATTTATTAGCCACCGATTCAGATGTATTTGTTAGAAAAATGACCATTAACGGTATTACCGGCGTTTCAGTGGCCGGTCGGCACGTGAAAAGAAACACCGTGTCGCCGTTTTCATTCCAATTTAACACCAGAAATCCGTAAAACATCTGATAAAAATGGCAAAACAGTTTATTTTCACGGGGCGACCGGCCACTAGGATGCCGGTGGGACCGTTTTTTCACCGTTTTTTCTAACAGTGTGACCTGTAGCTACGCATAACAATCAGTGAAATGAACGAGACTTTGTCCGGATATTGATGCACTTTTCGTCCTTGCGTGGGTCATGCTGACGCACTTATTCCCGAAAAAGTGAGTATAAGTCTTACGTGCAGGAAGTGTGTCATTATTTTTACTGTATGACACATTCATTTTTCTCAGTACAACTGCAGCAGTTGAGAAACTTACGACAGTTGCCCGATGAGAACAACTGTTGCCTGTCCAGGCTAAACTCTATCATTTGAAGATCAGTTTTGTGATGGCTCAACTATGGTAATGAGATTTGTGATGAGTATGTAGTCCAGTTTTTCGTTTCATTTTATGCATAATTCGCTATTATGGAAGCCAGCCTAACGAACATTTTCATAACACGGACTTTTTTCATATGAGAACATTTAAAATTTTGTTTGAGAATTCATGATACAAATTTGTTTTTTTTAAAAACAGATAATCTATTGAAGATAATGGAAGATCAGGAAAGCATGAATTTCAAAATGGAGCATATTCCGTAATGGGAAAGTATTCTTTTATTATTCGCTGGAAACATTCAACGACCAGCGGTTGATTTGTGTGCAATGGATTTGAGACAGCAAATAGCTCAAGATATATCGAAAAAAAACAAAGCGCGCGGTGCAGAGTGTGGTGCAATCTGCACTGTAAGTGTAATGAGGCATCCAATCATTCTTCATCATACCTCACACTTCAATAATTCACCACTCAGTTTAAAACGAGCTTCGGATGTTATTGATCGATGCGTCATCACAGCAGCCTTACTGGCATCACACTTGTGCGAGAAGTTTAAGAATTTTAGAACATTTGCTGATATCAGACATCGAAAACTGTGATCCCTCAAGAGAACAGTGGATGAAAATGCTGTACAGTAATGCAAATAAATTGTGTTGAAGTTTTAGCAGCGTGACTGAGCACAGAATTATGTTTAGTCAACAATTGTAAGTAATTTGAATTACTAGTGCGGCTGACTTCACATTTTTTGATAAAAAAGGGGAGTCTTCACAAAAATTTGTGCGATAAGCATCTAGAAAATACTTTAATCTCTGCTGAATTCTAAAGAGGGAACATTTTTTCATGAAAACACAGGGTTTTAGATTCATTATTTTCTAGTGTTAAGTCAGCATAGCTGAAAAATACAAGCTTTTTAAAAAAATAGATATCCCTAATAATCATAATCATCGCATAATTGGAAATGACATTTTATTTCATTTAAAGCTTTACTATGAAATGGAAAAAAAATAAATCAAGTCCTTCAATTTTGTTAGCGCCATATATATCATTAGACACTTTATCATTCCGCGGTGACGTGAGGTAATACGCACACATTCATCTGTTAATACAATTGCTATACGCACTAAACTTATAATGTGCATATTGTATATATTAACATTATTCAAGAGAAGTCTGGATTTTCAAGCGTCCGTACTTTAAGGTGGACAAAATAGGCAAAGATAGCACCTATTTATTTCAGTGAGATCGCGCTGTTCTGAGTGTAACCTGACAGGTTACCGATCGTGGTGGATTTCTTGGACACTTGCGTGAACGGCCAAATCAATAGCAGGTTGAATAACTTGAATTAGACGAGGCCGCTCTACTATATCTCATCAAATCTGAATGCTTCATCCGTTTTTAAACATAAATAACATGATTCATATTATCTGATGGAAAAATTTGCAATTTTGATTTAGGAATATACCGAGTACGGTACGTAATGTCGTGGAAAAGACGAGAATGCTGACCTTAAATCCTAATTGACGGTTAATTATTTCGTGGTGGTGGTTAGTTTCAGACCAAGATTACATTCGTTCATTTGAGATGTTCTGTATCCAGGATGGAAGTTCTTGTATCTACGATGAGAAACAGATAGTCTTGTATCCACGATACAGGATGGAAGTTTCTTTATCCACGATGCAAGATGGAAGTTCCGTTATCCACGATACAGGACGGAAGTTCTGTATCCACGATACAAGATGGAAGTTCCGTTATCCATGATACAGGACGGAAGTTCTGTATCCACGATGCAAGATGGAAGTTCCTTTATCCACGATACACGATGGAAGTTCCTTTATCCACGAAATAGGGTGGAAGTTGCGTTATCCACGATACAGGATGGAAGTTGTTTTATCCACGATACGGGATGGAAGTTCTTTTATCCAAGATACAGGATGGAAATTCTTTTATCCACGATACAGGATGGAAGTTTCTTTATCCACGATGCAGGACGGAAGTTCTGTATCCACAATATCGATCTTCACTGAAATTCAAACAGCAATGCCATGTCTCTCACGCGGTCTGTATAAGGGCTCCACCAACAGATGCGTAAGTCATTTTCCCTCGAATCATTTCGTGATTTCGACAGATGTACAGAAGTGACGAAACACCTGTTATAACAGGCGTCACTACACATGTAACCTCTACGCATTTGCAAGGGCAGTGTCCGCATGGGCGTGCAAAACCTGCTCGTTTTGTATAGTGGAATGTAAGCTGTAATGTTCCCCCAAATTTCAAACATGTCCATTAGAATTTGCTATCAATTTCGAACATATATTTTCATTGCCAAAGAAATCCATTTCCAGTAAGATCAAAAAAAAACTTCATTAAGCTTCTAATTAGTTGAAAGTTAGAAACTTAATCAGCCAACCTCGGTGTATCTAGATAAGATGATGCCGTACTTTTCAATTAACTCTCACAAAGATTTGCCTACAGGCTGAATATAATTTGAACCTTTTTAACGATTCGTGTGATTTAGAAAGTTTGATTTCGTTTATAGAATTTCAGAATATCCCTACAAATTTGATTAACTATAACCTCAAATATTTTCAACAGCTTGTGTATAATTTTGAACTTATTCAACAATTGTACTAGTTGAATTTGATTTGGTAGAAACATCATGATAATTTATCAGCTGTATAATTGAGAAATACAGTCAATGGTACCGAGCGATTTACATACATTTTCCTATAATTGAAATTCATGTATGCTTGCCCGGATTGAAATTCATGTCGGCTTGCACAGATTGAAATTCATGTATGCTTGCACAGATTGAAATTCATGTATGCTTGCACAGATTGAAATTCATGTAGGCTTCACGGGAATTCAGACAAAAGGATCAATGCGACGGCAATCACAGGCGAGCGTTCATCGTCAGACAAAGACTGCATCGCGATTGTGGCAGGTGGTTGTTATTTAGCAGGTGGTTGTTATTTTGTTATTTAGCAGGTGGTTGTTATTTTGTTATTTAGCAGGTGGTTGTTATTTTGTTATTTAGCAGGTGGTTGTTATATATTTTGTTATTTAGCTGATGGTTGTTATTTTGTTATTTAGCAGGTGGTTTTTATTTTGTTGTTTACCAGGTTGTTGTTATTTTATATCAATTAAATCTCTTTTAGTCCGGTGCTAGCCACAACTGTTGCAGTTGGTGCAATGGCTGGAATCGGTGCAGAATTTGGGTGGGCCTCTGGTTTTTGTTATTTAGCAGGTGGTTGTTATTTTGTTATTTAGCAGGTGGTTGTTATTTAGCAGGTGGTTGTTATTTTGTAGGTGGTTGTTATTAGGCAGGTGGTTGTTATTTTGTTATTTAGCAGGTGGTTGTTATTTAGCAAGTGTTTGTTATTTAGCAGGTGGTTGTTATTTAGCAGGTGGTTGTTATTTGGCAGGTACTTGTTATTTTGTAGGTGGTTGTTATTAGGCAGGTGGTTGTTATTTAGCAGTTGGTTCTTATTTTGCAGGTGGTTGTTTATTGGCAGGTGGTTGTTGTTAGGCAGGTGGTTGTTATTTAGAGCTGCAACGTCAACAGGTGGCTTCAGTAACACTAGTATTTCGAAGCCAGTGATAAATGTCAACAATTCAGACAGAGGCGCTGTTTTTTCTATATTAAAAACATTATTTTTAGGTACCATCATTTAATCTTGAATTATATTCAACTCTATTATTAATAATTTGATTTTCAATAAAATATTACAATGATAAAATTTAATTATGCTCAGTACATATATATTTTTCATATTTATTGACTATACCGTGCTAATTTTTATCACAGACTTATTTCCTAATGCAAATTTGAAAGAAATACACTTTTCTTTTTTTAAGTTAAAAATATTATAATGCAATTAAATCTTAATATAAATTTATTTTAAAATCGTTTTTAAATTTGTACCTATTAGAAAATTTTTTATGTCACCTTATCAGTCCGATCTCAATTATTTAAACGTTGGATTTTCGTATAAGAATGAAATCTATTCATTATGTAATCTTTTTATAAATAAATAAATCTTTTTGGCAGGTCGGTATAACAAATCGAATGAATTAAAATATGAAATACAGTGCGAATGTGCTGGAAGTTCCCTTCTACTCTTGACGATGGCAAATTTTGAAGTTACGTTAAATAAAAAAGTTAGCTATCATCTCAGCCTCTGTTTGTGATGATTGGTCCAACAGTAAGTGACTTTCCAGACACGCTTTGGATGTTCTCTAGTCTATAGCTTCTTCTCAAATGAAATTTATGAAAAATTACATTCTGGTTCAAAGCTTTCAAAATAAAATTATACTTGAAAATTCTTCTCGAAAATTTTCTGGCGTCCTATATAAGAAGGCATGAAACACAAAAAACGTAAATATAATTTTAATACAAATAATTAATCTTGTTTACAATAAAGGTAAAATATACAGGTCTAATAAGAAGGCAATTATTCTTTGGCTTATCCCGTAGAGATCATATGTGGACTTAGAGAGACGGACTAGGGTAAGTCGCGTTCATAGGAACCTTGAGGTGCCGCTAGCAGTTGATGGTGGTGATCCTCCATCACGTACACGGTGATGATGGCCGGCCACCGCTCACGGTTATCGACGGCCGTAGAACTGGAGACGATGCTGAAGCGTGACCAAAATTCCGTGGAGGTGCCGCTAGCGAGTGACTAGAAGAGTTCAGGCTTTCGGTTCCCATTCACGCCCAGCAGGCGTCATCTCCGACGACATCGACCTCTTCATCCTCCTCTTCCTCCTCGAGATCTAAGTTTGGGCATCCAGGAGTGCAGGTTCCTTCCCGGTGCTTGTTGAGGAGCGACATGCGCGAGAAAGTCTTGGTGCAAATCTGGCAGGCGTATTTCTTGACTGTGGCGTGCGTCTGCTGGTGCGCCCTCAAGTTGCTGCGGTCCGCAAAGCTGCGGCAACATTCGCTGCACTGGAACGGCTTCTCTCCGGTGTGGGTGCGGATGTGGCCCTGCAGCAGCCACGGCCGCGAGAACGACTTGCCACAAATGTGGCACTTGCAGGGCAGCGTGTGTGTCCGGATGTGCATCTTTAGGGCTCCGCAAGTAGTATAGGATTTGTTGCACGTCGGGCAGGAATATGCTCGTACCCCCAAGGTAGCTGTGCAGTGAAGCTCTTTATGTTTAGCTAAACCAGGTCTTGTAGCGTATGCTTTGCCACATTCCGTGCAGCTGTAGCGAGGCTTGGACCCACTTGCTCCGGAACCCTGGCTACTCACGCTGCCGCTGGGGGACAAAGGCTCTTCTTCTGACTCAGAGATGGTGGACACGGATGATGCTGGAGAGATGAGGGCAGATGACTCAGGATATTGGGGAAGTGATGGCGATAGGTGGCAGCGGGACTCAGTTGACGACACAGGAGACGCTTGTGGTGACAGTGGCATGTGGCTATTGGACATCCAAGTATTGGGTTTGGTCTCAGCCTCACTGGTTGCTCTAAACAACTGAAGATAATACTCAGCTAGGTTAGGCAAATGTGTTTCCCGAGATGGGGGATGGCTGGGAGTATGTGAGACTTGTGCTGGCGCTGGAGAATTACAAGGAGCAGTTCTCGAGCTGTTGTTATGGTAAGAACTTACGACTGGCGGGACGAAAGTACGTTGTCTCGTGGGCGCGGAAAGGGCGTATGAAGACACGGGTAAGACATGGCGGTTTGAAGGCCCTATGTTATAATGATGACTCACACTATGCTTCACAGTTACGTTATAAGATGGCACTTGACTCTGATGATAGAAGCTGTCCATCGATGATTTTGACGCAAAATTGTCATATGTAGGAACTGCACTTGTTGGGTATGAAGGTAAAGTGGCTACTGATGCTGGAAGGGGGCTTGTTGGTGGGGGAGTCAAGGCAGCGGATGAGCAATTGAATCTTGGCACTGGAGTAGCGGGTTCCACTTTAGGCACTAACATTTGCTCCACTTCAATTTTTGGTTTCTTCATACTGAGATCTTGAGGTTCTTCTTGTTCGTATAGAGCAGACAACGGACGCTTCTTGAGAGGACAATGGGCGTAGTTACGCTTTGCCATGAATGAGCAAGGCATTTTGATAGCCGTTAATGTTGCTCGTTACTAATCACACACTCTGTCACAAGGCAGGAGCTCAGAGCTCAGGTTCGTGTATGGCGCAGGGGCTGTTGCTTGTACGAGTGCGCAACGCAATCTGAATGAACAGGTCGCGTGCTCCCCCTTATATAGGAAGACGAGGGCAGGTGCTAACCGAAGCGTGCCGCCGGCCAATTGCGTAAGGTGGGCGGCGCATGCGTGGCTCGTGGCAGATCCTGTGGAGCGTGCGCCAACACTTCACTAACTTTTATCCCGATAATATAACATAAAATAAATTTTACTATTCACAACATTAAAACAAACATGCATATTTCATACACATACTTAATTTCTTACGAATTTAGAACCCACAAACCATAAAATTTAGCAATAAATACAAAACAATTGACGGAGAAGTGATCCCTCCTTCGTTGGCATCAGCGGCCAATAGGAAAGTTTCCCGCCGCCGTGGGACGAAGGAGGACAGATGCTCGTGGCGGTTGACAGGTGTGCTCGTGGCAACAGCACGTGGCCAAACGCTTTTCATCTCGACGATTTTTTGTAATGGCTTTCCTCTCAAATGCTTTCTTTCAACTGCTCCTGTTCTGCAAATACAGAGCTCCAAAGTCAGGCCATCAATTATTTTTGAATCTTTCTTGTATTTTTCGAAATATGGTATTGAAAATTATAGTCGCGCAGAAATGAGTTGTAAATTCTTTGCTGGAGCATTTTGTTAACTCAGTTTAATTTAATCATGAGTTCATAGATTTCAAAATCATGGAAGAGGTTAAAAGTCCAAAATCATAACTAACAATCAAATAAATGAAGGAGAAACGTTTAAATTTTGCGAGCTTCAAGAATCGTTTGACTACATACTTCCCATAAACTTATGAGCATAGAGATAATAAATGCTTCTAGGAATCTTAATTAACAAAAATAATACAGCAAAAATCAGAAGTGACCTCCTAGAAAATTCGTTGATTCTGCTTCCGGAAGTACGAGTTAGTGTTGCGTGCGAGAATATACTCGTATATGTAGGTTGTGCTTTTACATACAAAATCAGTTTATAAAAAACTCTACGGGTATTAATGCTAACCTTTCAACATCACAACTCTACGCACATTACACCCAGTATTCAAATACGCAAAACATAACAGCGTCCTTTACACGCGTTGACTTTGAAGTTTTGCGACCGACGTACGTTACAAGCAAATAATTTCACTAGTAAAATTGGTGTCCACTGAAAAATTATATTATTACTGAATTCTTATTCTTATTAGTACTTATATTATCAGTCTGCTTATATCGTACGTTCACAAGGAATATAAATGCAAAGAAAACACCAAGCAAACACAATAAAGATATGGTGAATTTGCTTGGTGTTTTCTTTGCTTTTAAATTCCTTTTTATTCATATTGTATTGTGCTACCGCATATCAGGTATCGATTGATGCGGCGATACAATACGTGATGGTGCGATACAATACGTGATGGTGTGATGCAATACGTGATGGTGCGATACAATACGTGATGGTGCGATACAATACGTGATGGTGTGATACAATACGTGATGGTGTGATGCAATACGTGATGGTGTGATGCAATACGTGATGGTGTGATGCAATACGTGATGGTGTGATACAATACGTATTAGATAATGAAACGAACAGTGAAAATATGAAGTAACACACTTAATCTATTTTTTTTAATTCATTCGATGTCGCAACCCACGAAGAGACTCGTGCTGGCGACATACGTATATTTTCTTCCTTTCTAACGAAAATACAGAGCGATTTGATAAAAGTAATCATTCGATGGATGTTAGTATGCTGCTGATTGATAGCTAAGTTTAACGGATGGTGATTCAGTGCATGCGAGCGCAAGTTAAGCTGTAGTTGCACAGAAAGATAAGCCAATAGGCAAAAGTAAAAGTACCCATGCACTGAAGTAACCTACATATATTCAACGCGTGCACAAATTTCTGTTCATCAAATGAACAGTTTTTATATGATATGATGACACATTATCATAATGCATTTGAATGGATCTTGTTTGGTACTGCCCCTTCAATTTTACTCTATATATGGGTTTGCCTAGAACACATCATCAATCTGCATCTGGGTTCACACATAATCATGTTTCAATCTGAACCTATACTGAATACCGCTATTCACTTTCACCCTTTATCAGCAGACGATCCCGTTGCAAAGATAGCATGCTTCCTCCACTCGTATATGCCCGATAGCCACTCGCTACTTACCTACCAACTACTATATCATACCATCCCTCAAAATCTACATTGAACACGCTTCATAATATTACCTGAAATGTTATTCTCACGTTATGCTTTCCATTTATAATGTTTACGGTAACACGTGTACATCTTAACCCAACTTGCATCTCCTCTCAAACTTTTCTGTACGCCTTCAAACCTGCTCTTCACCCCTTAATTAAGCACCAAGCTATTCACGTACACCAATGCAGCTTTCTACCCCCTCTGATATTGAAGCACACTCTATCAAAACCAGCATTACTTAAAATCTCACTATTCTAAACGCACGCTAGAACAATATTCTCTATCTACCCTCTATCATGCTCTAAACACATCATACAATTTTATTCTCGGTATTCTCTCTCTACCCTCCATCATCCCTTGCATGCCCTTTCAACCTACATTGCATGTCTTCTTATCTTACTTTATTACTCTTTCATCTTACCCTTCATCCACCCTCGGTCACGACTTACTCTCTCAATCCAAGACATCGCACGTGGTGCAGCATGGCGATTACGTTTCCTGTGTCGGCTCTCAAGAAAAGTTTTTAGACATCCTGTCTGTTAGATCATTTTTATTATTTTCCCTCACTCGAGTAAAGTGAGGGCTCTTCCCCACTTCCTCTGTCGAATCCCCTTTTGTTGGGGATACAATAGAGACCTTCCTCCCTGCTTCCTCAGCTGTCTTCCTCTCGTGACTTACGAGCCGCTCGTGCTGGTGCTTCAAACTCAAGGAATGGTCAGTACCAAGAGCTTACATTATAATAATTTCTGAAATGATAGTTAAATGATTTGTAAATCTGTATTTAGCGACTCATCAGCACCAGAGCAAAAAATTCTTTCATAGAAATCTTTTTACCCTAGTTTATTGCTGAAATTATACTGTGAGTTGTTTTAAGCTATGTTTATGCTAAAAAAGCTTTTTGATTAATGATTTAAATATTCGCATTTAGATTTCGTATGTTTATTGCTGCTAATGTCAACTTATTCATATATGTTATAAATAACACTGAAATGTTTTTAAATTACTCTGTAGGACCTAATTTATCTTTTGACGAAATTCAAAATTAATTAATTGTAGGACCTAATTTATCTTTTGTGCGAAAATTTTGCCTAAAAAGGTGTTTTTATTTTCTAATTTTTTTAATATACCATTTACGCGACTGGGAAGCGTTTCGAAATTTTCTCTGTAGAATAAAATAATGGCAAGAAAATTCGTATCCCTCATATGAAAAAAGCGAGTGTATTATTTTTTCGGGATGTATCATTATCAAGCAGTGTCAGGTATCCTAGATACGCCGTCTGCGTATCGCGGCGCGCTAGTCATGACTAAAACGTGTGAAAACTATATTGGCAAAAAAGTGAGATGAATATATATTATAATGAATATATCTAAATATCTAGTGATGTATGCTTGCACTAGATATATGCACTAGATATATGCACTAGATATATGAATATCTAGTGCACTAACATAGAGTGTATATACATTCCACCAATGAACACCGGCTCTCGGTCTGGTGAGGGCGACCGTCGATGTCACATTAGGCACGTCTCCCTGCCATCCTACACCGCGCACGCGTCCTACGCTGCTTCATTATCCCGCTCACTTCCTGCACTGCTACACTTCCTACTCACCTATATGCTGCCTCCTACACATCGTTCACTTCCTGCACTACTACACTTCCTACACACCTATATGCTGCGTCCTACACATCGTCCACTTCCTGCACCTCTACACTTCCTACACACCTATACGCTGCCTCCTACACATCGCTCACTTCCTGCACCGCTACACTTCCTACACACCTATACGCTGCCTCCTACACATCACTCACTTCCTGCACCGCTACACTTCCTACTCACCTATACGCTGCGTCCTACACATCGCTCACTTCCTGCACCGCTACACTTCCTACTCACCTATACGCTGCCTCCTACACATCGCTCTCTTCCTGCACCGCTACACTTCCTACTCACCTATACGCTGCGTCCTACACATCACTCACTTCCTGCACCGCTACACTTCCTACTCACCTATACGCTGCCTCCTGCACATCACTCACTTCCTGCACGCTACACTTCCTACTCACATATACGCTGCCTCCTACACATAGCTTACTTCCTGCACTGCTACACGTCCTACTCGCCTATACGCTGCCTCCTACATATCGCTTCATAATCTCGCTCACATCCTAGTTGTACCGTCACACTTTCTACTCTTCTACCCTTCCCCCCCTGGCCACAACGTATCAATTGATTCAACATCATTTTTCAACATTCTCACGCTGCTGTGTAGCTCTCCTATGAGCATTTTGGTTACAGGGAACCGGTGTGGTCGCCAGGAATACGACAGAAATATTTAGCTCAGTTAAGGTGTCAAGCTGCTTTAGAGTAATATTTTCACTCATACCGTTCGAAAATATAATGTATATAAATAAATATTTTGGAGTGTCTAAATTGCGAGATGATAGGCCGTTAATCTAATTAATTAAAATTAATTAGATTAGCAAATACTGTGTAAATGCTATCTTTTTGAACGGAGTTAAGGGAGAATTATAGATTCTGAAAAATAAAGCCAAGAATAATTCATAATAGAAATATGGGCAGTTAGTTTCCAATTTAAAAATATTCTATGAGATTATTATAGATTAGGAAGATAAACTTCAAACTATTCAATGGAATAAGAATGTTTACGGAAAGCCATTGGTGAAAATTAAGCGGTTTGCCTAGCCAACGGAAGCCAACCTTTCTCCTTTTGAAAAGCGAACAATTGACTTCCTCTCTTTTGCAGTGAACTTTTGTGAAGATTTAGAAGACAAACACGATGTTCTT